GTGTCAGGCCTTCTGGTATCTTCAACAGATAGTCAACCAGAGAGGGTCCAGAGCACTTCTGTTCAAATGTAAGTCACAGAGGGTCTTCAGTCCTTCTGTCAAGATAGGAGCCAACAGAGGACCTAAGTACTTCTGTTCTAGTGAAGTCCAACAGAGAGTCAGGAGGACTTCTGTCAAGGAGCTATCACCAGATGGCCAAAGGGGCTTCTGTCTGGAGGTTTTCTGTGAGTCGATTATACTAAAACAATTACAAAGAAAATTCTAATACAATTTTCTAAAGTGGTGCTTTCTAAAGTCCTATAGCATCATCAAAATCTAATTACAATTATTCCTTACAGTACCTACACATAAAAGAAACTAGTGTAGAATAGAGCATCTGGTCTGGTGTCGAACCACGACTCAGTATGTAAGCGAGTCACACTCACTGCTTGAAAAGAGTGACATCAAGTTCCCAAGTTAGGCCTCAACCCAGTCTCCGAAAGAAAGATTCAAACCGCGAGTAAGTGAGTCGGACTCCTCACTCGAACGGATAATCCAACCCCAAAGTATATAAACCTTTTCGAGAAATGTGAATGTCAATTAAGTGACAAAATTGCTCGGAAAAGCGTGACTCTAGGCCCCTAACAAGAGTTTAACTCGACGCCTGAGGTTAGTAGTTCGAACCCGCAAGTAAAAACTTTTGAACGGGTGACTCGTCCCCCGAGATCAGAGTGTGATGCACTAAGAAAGGGTAAGAGCATGCAAGAACTCGTATGAAGTCAAGAGTGTGCTGTATTAACATTTATATTGGAGCTTATTAATCGCCACACTCATATGACGTGACCCGGTGGCGCGAGTCTGTGTGCTCGGCCAGTGTACGAGTGTGTGTGCTCGTCCGGCGTACTTGAGTGCAAATTTCATAAGTCCGTTGTTCAATGTTAAAATTACACATACTTAACAAGAGTAAAAACAATATATCACTTAAAATATCTTTTCAAATGTTTCAATTTATGTTTTTTTGTTTTTTGATTAACAATGTAAACTTGAGGAGTATACTTAGCTTTTCTGTTGTTTGGAAGTTCGTTCCAATTGAAAAATCAATTCAGATGGGTTTGGCCCATATGCACTCGAAGCTCAAACACCAACCGAGCAAAGTGAGCAGCTCTCCTAACACCCTCTGCAAAGCCTACGTGACGGCCAAAAAACCTCCTTCTCCGGAAGTCTGTCAGCCAGAAGGGCGCAAGGCTGCCCACTCGCATCACTGAGGTTGGATACAAAAAAGCTTCATCAGGCAGCACCTGCGGCTGGGCGAGGTCGCTAGGACTCCAGCAGCACTGGCGGAGCTTCCTCAAGCGGCGACTGACAGGGGTGCACTGGTCCACGATCTGTCACACCTGGAGCTCTTAGAGTCCATCAATGGCGGATATTTAGGGTCAATCCCCAGTCATGGTTCGGGCTCCTACCGTCGAGCCGCGAAGGCGACCAGATGCGACCCCAGCAGGCGTGTGACAGAGACGGTGGAGCGAGCTGCAACGAGCGGCGGAGCGAGCTGCAACTTGAGAATGGGTGGGGAGCTTCTGCTAATCTGCTATGGAGAGTGGCAACAACTGGGACGCGGGGACATCTCCGGCTTAACACTGGGGAATCCCCAGATCTAAAATTCCATCTCCAGCGGCAGGGATGTGGCTACCATTTCCGGCGGTTCTCGAAATCCCATAACTTCTCCGTTGATGATTTTTTTGGCAGACCAGTTTCTGGACCTCCTGTGTGGATGTTGGTTCACTCGCTTAGATCCGAACCTCCATTGCATTTCCTGACGAGATTTTTTCTTCTTTTTGCAGCTTTTGGATTACAAATCTGCACTACAAAAAAAAATCGCTTGTAGTCACGGACCCTAGTCATGGATTTGGTCCGTGACTAGTTAGTCACGGTTCTAGTCACGGGCTAGTCACGGATTGTTTTAAAAAAAAATAGTCACGGATATGTCCGTAACTACGTCCGTGACTACGGTTAGTCACGGATTATATCCGTGACTAACCTATTCCGGCCAACCCAATTTTGCCTCCGACGGTTTTTTTAAATTTGAAATTTGTCATGGAGGAATCCGTGACTAATTCCGTGACTAATTCCGTGACAAGATCCAAAATTAATTTTTTCAACGCTCCAAAGTTAAAGTGCACCGATAAATCATACACAATTACGTAGTCACGGACACTACGTCCGTGACTACATGTTTTATATATGCAGCCTCCGCTTCATTCAACAAAACCACACAATCTATTCCAGATAGAATTCCAAATAAAATTGAAGGATGTAATCTACGCATCTTATATCATTATCCGTGTTTATGCAGATAAGGTATGTAATTTGAATTACGTATTTTTTTGTATGAATTAGTTGGTTCATTTTAAGTGTAATAAATTAGAGAGATTATTAATTAAGTAACGAATTACATATATGTCAATTTCATTTAATTTAGAGACCTTCGATTCGCCATTTTTTCTGAAATTTCTTACTAGAGTGACGAGAGACACGATACAGACTCTCAATGAAAGCACCAATGTTGGTCCAAAATAAGACGCTCGTAGGCTTTTAGGAAAGCTACGTAAGAACACTCAAACAAGAATTTAGGAAAATAATGCGAATAAAGAAAGAAGCTAAAAGTGTAGTTGCCAAGAATAGCTTATAGAAATTGTCTCCCCTAATCCGAATTACAACCCGCCTTTTATAGGCGTATACAAATCGTAACCACTACCGATAATAATGACTAATTAATTACAACATTAATACAGAATTAAATACATAATTAATAGCGCATTAATTGCTTAACTGTTACTCTTCCGGGCTAGGAGGTCGGCCGGACTGACAGGCTTCCCGTTGGGCTGGCAGGCTTCCCGCTGGGCTGGCAGGCAGGATCTAAGTTGTGTACTTGCCGATCAAATCCCGAAAACGGAGAAGAAAAACCGCGACTCGTGTGCACGGGCGACCTGCGGACGTGAATCCCAAAAATGGACGTCTTCTGGTCCGTTACAGCAATAAATGCCCAACGTTCTTCTCTTTTAATGTTGCGTTAAATGGACAGTTTATGGATGATTCAATGCCCAACGGCCTGGTCATTGATGTCCAACGTTCAGCTCCATTAACACTACATTTAACACACAACAAATCCTCCTATAAATAGCTGGCAGGTGCTTTGAAACAAACACATGGTTTTACACGTTCACAAGCAACCATACACACGTTTTAGCTCTGGAAAACACCTGCAGCTCTCCGAAAAATTCCTAAGTGTTTCTCCTTTGTTCCCGTTCGCTGGAACTCTCGTTTGTGTGCTCAAACGTTAGTTCGTTAACAATCGTATCCTGGGAAACGGTCGTTGCAACGCTCTTAGCACTGTGGGAGGCGACGAATACGTTTTAAGGACATCGTGCGTAGCACGAGCTCTGGCTAAACTCTGTCCCATCTCTTTTTCTGTTTTTCTTTGGCTATTTAATTAATTAATTATTTTTATTAATTAATATTTCTTCGTTTTTCCAAGACACACCCAACAATCTTAAAACGTATTCGGTGATTGTTCTACTCTGGTAAATAATCTTAAATCGTCACTAGTGTAGAAAACACTTTCTATATGGGTTAAAAAACACTTTTTATGTCGGTTCCCGTAACGACATAGTAGCTAGCGATATAGAATGTCAGGCTCTTTTCGTGTCGGGTAGTCGTACCCCTTATAGAATGTTTTTTATAACGGTTATGAATTTAACCGTTATTGAATGTTTTCGATGTCAGTCCAATAATACCCCATATAAAATCCTTTTTATATGGGTTAAACCACCAACCGTTATAGAAAGTTGATTTTTTTTCAAAAAAAAAAATCGCATTTAATGCCACTTATATATATATATGTATATATATATATATATATATATATACACATATACACATACATATAAGTGCTTTTATATTTTAAAACGTTGATTTAAAATTATATCAACCACATACTATTAATCATACTTACTGAAATAACAATATTCCCATCTACATAGTATCGTATTATATCAACAATATTCAACCAAAATTACATACGATTTTAAAACATACTAGTAACATCCAATAAAATTACTATGAAATGCTTGTCACTGAAAAACAATGTCAAATCCTCTTGCGTCTTGTTGATACCATATTGAATACATGCAATATGAATAATCAAAGTAAGCATCCTTAAAATACATAAAAGCAACCATAAGGAAAATATATCAAAGTACTACAATTACAAATATAAACACAAACAAAAAGTTATCACTTATACAGTACGTAGTATGAATCAACATAATAGATGCAACTAAGGTAATAACTAGTAAAGTATACATTTTTAGTATTTTAGGCCAGTAAGAGCCTATTTCCTAAATAAATGAATTACATATTTAGTAGAGCTCCTCATTATTACTATAGTTCAAGACCTCTACCAACCAAAATCTCTATATTGTAAGAAGGCATACTAATAATCCCTATATTTTGTATGGTGTCAAGAACTTATAAGCATACACTTAGCACAAAAACCAACACTTCCTTCCCTTCCCCTCCAATGCGGAGAAAGACTCTTGTATAACACTAGTGAGACAAAAAAGAAACTTATTCTTTTCTCAACAACCAAACTGTGTAACGCACTAAAAATGTAGGAAATATGCAAGAAGAGGGGTCAAACCTTGCATATCCAGAATATAAGTCATTTAAATGGACAAACAGTGAAACAACCATGTAAGATGGATAAAAGCAGCATCGTTCACTTTTCAAGCAATACTACAAAATTAGTTATGGGATTATAAGTTACAACTCAGTGAAAATCAGATGCCTTTCTTGTATATTCTCATGAGTTTTGTGTTTGAGAAATACCTGCTTCCAGGTAAATTATGATAAGGTGCCTCAATTGATCAATGTTCAACTATTTTTAGTTCATCCAGCCATCAAGAAGCTCTCTTAGGAAGAGCCATATTACGAATTAGAGGTACGGTTGTAGCATATCTGTACCAAAAATCCGAGCATAATAGCACCAATCTTCAGGACTTCAATATTTGGAGGCATCAAGCTATTGAAATTTTGAAGAACCTCCAAAGGATTCTGGCTCATGGCAAAACATGTAGCAGGAAATAGCACAACTACTGATGATCCGAACACATACAACTTTAAACAGTTTGATCTGCTACGCTTTCGACCTAATTCTCCAATTATAAGAGAGACGAAGCCTATTGCAGCAGAGCAGAAAGCACATCTTTCAAATGTCTGAGTCTTCACCGCTACAAAAAATGAGAGTGCTGATATTATCACATGAACAACTGCCTGAATTTCATCTTATTTCGGTTAAAAAACGGACATAGAAAGACTATTTTCTATAATTATAAAAAACGCTCCGAATGTAGTTTCATTTTATAAAAATTATGAATACTACCCCATTTTTTGCTTTCTATGTCGGTTCTTTTTTATAGCCGTTATGGATAAGATTTGTAATATTTTTAATTACTCCCACGAAATAGACACCACTCTTCTATTATTTAAAAATATAGCCCCGCGTATACATAGGGTTGGGTTCGGTTCGGGACCCGAACCGATTTAGTATAAACCCGAACCGAACCGATATTTCGGTTTACTAAATTACAAAAACCGAAACCGAACCGTATTAAGAACGGGTACCGATTTTTGGGGCCCGAATTATTCGGTTCGGTTTACCGGGAACCGAAAAACCGACTCAATTTTAAAAAATAAATTTGAACTAATATTCAGTAGACTAAAGCTCATTGGAACTTTCCAATATTTGAGCCCCATTAGCCCAATTGGAAGCCTAGAACGTATCTTAGCAGCCTACAATAAGGGAACCTGGTTTATATTGAAGTTTTTGGAGTAGTAAGCTACTCATTTTCCGGTGTGGGACAGAATAGAAGAAGAAAGAAGCCAAATTCTAAAAATACAAAACCTTACACAACATACGGGAATCGATCCCTCGACCATTTGCTGGGGATAGGAGCACAACGACCAACTCCGCTACTCGTCATCTTTGTTCAAACCATACTCGGGTTTATATTATTACTATATTTTTCGTCATTAATTATTATTATTATTATAAATAACAATTATTATTATTAATATAAAAATGTCGGTTCGGTTCGGTTCGAACCGATATTTTGTGCACATAAACCGAACCCGAATCGATTTTTTTTCGGGTCCCGATTATTGGGTCCCAATTTCGTTCGGTTCGGTCCGGTTCAGTTTTTTTCTAAAACGGTTCGGTTATTTTCGGTTCGGTTTTCGGTTTTTCGGTTCAAAATGCCAGCCCTACGTATACATACCATAACGGTTCTTTATGGACCCATATGAAATGATAGTTGTAAAATGTGTATTTTGCACTAGTGCGTAGTTTGTCACGTTGGTGAACGAACTTATTTTTTTTTTGTGCTTTCGGAAAACGTAAGGAAACGTTAAAATGACTTCTCAAGAAATTCAGAATGTTGGTGGGAAAAACGTGCCAAACGACACTCACTCTGAAAGTGGAGCACCGATGAACAATGGTTCACAACACGGTGCATCTACTTTGGGCAACCAAGGGCCAATCCCTATGGTTACCATGCCGAGCAACTCTGTGGAGAAACCCGAAATATTTAATGGGTTAAACTTCAAGAGGTGGCAGCAAAAGATGCTATTTTACCTCACTACTCTCGGTCTTGCTAGGTTCTTGACCGAAGACGCGCCGGTAGCAACCAGGGGTGAGGTGGATGCGCAATCTTTCAACGCGGTTGAAGCTTGGAAGCATTCTGACTTCCTTTGCCGAAACTATGTGTTGAACGGGCTGCATGATGCTTTGTACGACGTTTATAGCAAATTAGCTACGGCTAAGGAGATATGGAATGCTTTGGACCACAAATATAAAAGCGAGGATGCCGGTGCAAATAAATTTGTTGTCGGCCGATTCCTTGATTTTAAAATGGTGGATTCGAAGACGGTCTTGAGTCAAGTTGAGGAGATGCAAATGATTTTCAATCAAATTCGAGATGAAGGAATGACAGTTAGTGACTCTTTCCAAGTGGCGTCAATTATTCATTTATTGACGCCGGCTTGGAAGGATTTCAAAAACTACCTTAACCATAAGCGAAAGGAAATGAACTTGGAGCAACTGATCCTCCGTCTGCGGATTGAAGAGAATAACCGGAAGAACGATGGGAATCTCCCAATCGTTAACGGTGCCAAGGCCAACGTAGTGGAGCATGCAAAAGGATCTAAAAAAAGAATAATGGGAAGAGCAAGCTCGGTCCCAAGGGAGGCGTTTCCAAAAAGAAGTTTAATGGAAAATGCTTCAATTGCAATAAAAACGGACACAAGTCTGCGGATTGCAAGGCACCCAAGAAGAAGAAGGACAATCAAGTCAACTTGGTGCAAGGTGGGCAAAAGGATGAAGACATCATCCTTGCGGCCGTGGTGACCGAGATCAACCTCATTGGATCTAATTCCAAGGAGTGGTTCATGGACACCGGTGCTACCCGGCATATTTGCTCAAACCGGGAGTTATTCACTACTTTTGAGCCATCAAATGGTGAGAAGGTGTGGATGGGAAACTCGGCTCATTCCGCGGTTGAAGGCGTGGACAAAGTGGTTCTGAAGATGACTTCGGGCAAGGAGCTGACTCTAAACCAAGTTTTGTTCGTTCCGGAAATACTCAAAAACCTGATTTCCGGTTCGTTGTTGAACAAGCATGGCTTCTGCATGGTTTTTGAGTCGGACAAACTGGTTTTGTCTAAATCGGGATTGTATGTGGGCAAGGGGTATGCAGTTGATGGGCTGTTTAAGTTCAATTTAATGACTAATAATAATAATAATAATAATAATAATAATAATAATAAAAAAAAAAATCTTCTGCTTACATGTTTGAGTCTTCCAATGTGTGGCATGGTAGACTAGGACATGTTAATTTTAATTCTATACGTAGATTAATTAACATGAAACACATTCCTAAATTCACAATTGATGTGAAACACAAATGTGAAGTTTGTGTAGAGGCAAAACTAACGAAAACGTCTTTCAAATCGGTTGAAAGAAAAACGGAACCACTTGAATTAATTCATAGTGACGTTTGTGATTTTAAATCAATACAAACACATGGTGGTAATAAATATTTTATTACTTTTATCGATGATAGCACTCGCTATAGCTATGTTTATTTATTAAAAAATAAACACGAAGCAATCGATAAATTCATTCTTTATAAGAATGAAGTGGAAAACCAACTTAATCGACAGATTAAAACGGTTAGAAGTGATCGAGGTGGTGAGTATGAAGCACCAATAGGCGACTTTTGCGCGAGCGTGGGTATAGTACATGAACGTACCGCACCCTATTTGCCTCAATCAAACGGTGTTGCTGAACGAAAGAATCGCACATTGAAAGATATGATGAATGTGATGCTAGTAAGTTCGGGCCTGCCCCAAAATATATGGGGCGAAGCAGTCTTGTCAAGCAATTACCTTTTATATAAGGTTTCCCGAAAAAATATGATAAAACTCCCTTAAGTTGTGGAAAGGTAGAAGGCCTTCCTATCAATATTTAAAAGTGTGGGGGTGTCTGGCAAAACTGCTTGTACCAACACCTAAGAAAATAAAAATAGGTCCAAAAACGGTGGATTGTATTTTTATTGGATATGCACAAAATAGTAGTGCTTATCGATTTTTAGTGTACGATTCGAATAATCCGGATGTACATAAAATCACAATAATTGAATCAAGGAATGCATCATTCTTTGAGGACGTATTTCCATTCAAGTCCAACGAAGGACCAAGCACGTCAAAACGAACATTTGACGTAGCTATGGAAAATACTAGCGAGGGATCCGGAGAAGAACCTGAACCCAGACGTAGCAAACGTGCTAGAGTTGAAAAGTCCTTCGGACCAGATTTTCTCACCCACTTGGTAGAATTAGACTCGGATATTCTAACATGTATGGTAGAAAATGAACCAGATTTTCTAACATGTTTGGTAGAAAATGAACCACGGACTTATACGGAAGCCGTGACGTCTACCGAAGGTCCTATGTTGAAAGAAGTCATCAAAAGCGAGGTGGACTCTATCCTTAAAAATCACACATGGGAACTGGTTGACCTTCCTCCGGGAAATAAACCTTTGGGATCCAAGTGGATTTTTAAACGAAAAATAAAACCTGACGGTTCCATCGATAAGTACAAGGCCAGACTTGTAATCAAAGGATATAAGCAACGCGAGGGACATGATTACTTTGACACGTATTCTCCTGTGACGAGAATAAATTCCCTTAGGATGATACTAGCAATTGCCGCATTGAGGAAATCGGAAGTTCATCAAATGGATGTAAAAACCGCTTTTCTAAATGGCGATATATAGATGAAGAAATCTATATAGAACAGCCCGAGGGCTTTCATGTTCTAGGCCAAGAAAGGAAAGTGTGTAAATTAATTAAATCATTGTATGGATTGAAACAAGTCCCTAAATAGTGGCACGAAAAGTTCGATCATGCAATGTTAATTAATGGGTTTAAAATAAACGAAAGTGATAAATGCGTCTATGTGAAGAGCACGGTAGACGGCTATGTCATTTTATGTTTATACGTGGATGATATACTCATCGTGGGTAGCAATAATCTAATGATTAATTCTACCAAAAACATGTTATATTCTAAATTTGACATGAAGGATATGGGACGGGCCGATTTAATCCTTGGGATTAAAATAATTAGGGGACCAGACGGTCTAACGCTAAGCCAATCCCATTATGTTGATAAAATCCTTACGAAATTTAATAAGGATGATTATCAAGAGGCAAGAACTCCATTAGATAAAAATGTACATCTTACCAAAAATCGTGGAGAGTGTATTTCTCAAGTTAAATATTCTAGGATTATTGGAAGCTTGATCTATCTAATGAGTTGTACCAGGCCTGATATTGCCTTTGTGGTTAGTAAGCTAAGTAGATATACTAGTAACCCCGGTGATGAACACTAGAAGGCAATAGTAAGGGTTTTGAGGTACTTACGAAAAACCCAAAACCTTGGACTGCACTATGGAAGATATCCACCTGTACTTGAAGGATATAGCGACGCTAGTTGGATATCCGACATTAAGGACTCAAAGTCCACAAGTGGATATGTTTTCACTTTGGGAGGTGCAGCCGTGTCATGGAAATCCTGGAAACAAACGTCAATACCTAGATCCACGATGGAGTCTGAGCTAATAGCCTTTGTAAGGAATATTTGTGTTTAGATTTTGATGATGCTAGATTAATTAGGACTTTAGAGTACCCCTATTTAGACTTAATGTATTAGAATTTTTCAT